CACCCGCGCCCCCCCCCCGCCCCCGGCCCCAGCCCCCCTCCCCCTCCCGCCTCCCAGGTGTCCCCCCCTCGCTCTGATGACGTCACACCGCCCGACTCCTCCCCCAGCCCGCCCCTGTGTTGTCGCAGGTGTCGCCTCGTGGTGACGTCACGCCACCCGCACCCCCTCCCAGTGACGTCACAGCCATCCCCTCGCGGTGACGGTGGCTTTATTCCACCCCTGACCCCCTGCCCTTTCCGTGACGTCACTCGTCCGCCTGATGACGTCACCCTCCAACCCCCTCCAGGTGACGTCACACCTGTCCCTTTGCTGTGACGCTGACGTCACACTGGAGAATCCCCCCACACACACACACAGCCCCCCCGCACTGCCACTTTGTCACCCGTGTCCGGGTGTTGTGACCCTCCCCCAGCCCCCGGCGACACCCCCAGTCCGCCTGTTGTGACCCCTCCAGTCACCCTGGGTCCCCCCCCAGGTCCGGGTGTTCCCCCCCAGCCCGCCTGTTGTGACCCTTCCCTCGGTGTTCCCCCCAGTCCGCCTGTTGTGACCCTTCCCTCGGTGTTCCCCCCAGTCCGCCTGTTGTGACCCTTCCCTCGGTGTTCCCCCCAGTCCGCCTGTTGTGACCCTTCCCTCGGTGTTCCCCCCAGTCCGCCTGTTGTGACCCTTCCCTCGGTGTTCCCCCCAGTCCGCCTGTTGTGACCCTTCCCTCGGTGTTCCCCCCAGTCCGCCTGTTGTGACCCTTCCCTCGGTGTTCCCCCCAGTCCGCCTGTTGTGACCCTTCCCTCGGTGTTCCCCCCAGTCCGCCTGTTGTGACCCTTCCCTCGGTGTTCCCCCCAGTCCGCCTGTTGTGACCCTTCCCTCGGTGTTCCCCCCAGTCCGCCTGTTGTGACCCTTCCCTCGGTGTTCCCCCCAGTCCGCCTGTTGTGACCCTTCCCTCGGTGTTCCCCCCAGTCCGCCTGTTGTGACCCTTCCCTCGGTGTTCCCCCCAGTCCGCCTGTTGTGACCCTTCCCTCGGTGTTCCCCCCAGTCCGCCTGTTGTGACCCTTCCCTCGGTGTTCCCCCCAGTCCGCCTGTTGTGACCCTTCCCTCGGTGTTCCCCCCAGTCCGCCTGTTGTGACCCTTCCCTCGGTGTTCCCCCCCTGTCCAGGAGGCCCGGCCGGCTGTGACCCCCCCCCGAGGACCCCCGGAGCAGCAACACCCAGTCCATGAGGGCCCCGCGCACAGGTGGGGCACTGGGGGAGCACTGGGTGGCACTGGGTGTTACTGGGATGAACTGGGGGGCACTGGGATGAACTGGGAGGACACTGGGGGGCACTGGGATGTACTGGGAGGGCACTGGGATGTACTGGGAGGGCAGACTCTGGGCTGGCCATGGGTCAGGCTGGGTTTGACACCCTGGAGGGGCCGTGGGGCAGCCTCAGGGCCTGGAGGTGATGCCGCGGGTCAATCCTTGGGTCCCCCCCGCGGTTCCTCCTGGGTGGTTCGGTCCTTGTCCCCCCCCCGTCCGCTGTCCCAAGTGGTTCGGTCCCGGTTCCCCCCCTATCCGCCGTTCCC